TGACTGCTTTTTCTTTGTAATTGTTGAGTGGTGTATTTATTTATGTGCAGATTTTCAGGAATGTGACCAACTTGCTCATTGATGTCTTACTGTATGCATTGCACTTTCTCTCTCTTTTATACAGGTATTTTATGTACTTTGATGTTAATTATATATTGATTTCATAGTGAGGCATAAGTTAAGCAGGTGTTCCTTGCTTTATGGGATAGTTGTGTTTGAAGTGCATGGCAGCTGTACTAACCTTGGTCATGCCATCAACAATTCTGTTTATTAATAATCTTAAGTATGTTTTGAAAACTGCACTGATCATGTACAGTGCGTGTATATCACACGTACAAAATTAACCATGAAAATAGTACATCCCATAATAGTGAATTCAATAAAGCAAAGTAAACCTTTGTATAGTAAAGCATAAAAATTGATATGGAGAGACAGAAAACTATTTATAGTGAGATATTAGAAAACTGTATATTTAGGCCTCAAGAATATCTGTATGTACTGTATAAATAATTTCCTAGGTACTGTAATTTAAAACTGAAATGTGAAAGTGTTACTTTGTGATAGTTATCATATATCATAAGTTCAGTAAATCATCAGTTATATGATGTGTTGTTGACCCAGACCAGCTCAGCACATGTTATGGAAGATCAATATACAAACACCAGTGACCATAAAACATGGGATTTCAGTATTTTGTATTTCTTGAAAACCTGTGCAACCTTTCACTGATGGTGTCTGATAATTGATGGTATACTGTATATATATCTTATAACTAATTTACCAGAGTATCCATAATTTTGATTTGACTTTAAATTTGATATTTAGTTTACAGTGGTTTATTGTGTAGACAGTATTTTCATGCCTGAAAATGTGTTGGTGTATTTTATCTAAACGTTTAAGATTCTTCATATTACACAGTTGACTGTCTCCTTTGTGTAAAACTTACTTTTAATGAGTAAGATCTCTGTTGACACCTTGAGAATGACCTAGTTTACTCTGAGCTACTGCACATCCAACCATGTTGTCTCTTGATGTCCCGGAATGTTTTGTCTCCTTAACAATGTCTGATATGTCCTCTCAGATTGAAATGCTGCATATAAATTGGTCATGTGTACTTCACACATTGTACTTACCTACTGTTGTTTATGAGGAAAAAGCTTTAACCTAATAGTGACTAGTTTTGTCTCAACCCTTCGAGTTTATCATTGCTTTTCTCAACAGGTGCAGATTATTCTTCTATATATAAATTGTGCAATAATGAGCCACTGCTATAGCACAAAGTACATTAAATATCACTTAAAATTTTAATGAAAAAATTTGAGTGGTCTTGTATTTAAAAATGTGTGAAATATTTTTGACCTTTGTCTCAGAGGAAGATTTTCTTTTTATTTTTATTTATTGTGTCGATATAAATCATAAAATAATTATTTAGTATATATCGGGACTATTTTTTAATTTCATTATGCATATTTTATAGCCTTGCCTTATACTTAGTTCACTTTATCAGTATTTATATATATATATATATATATATATATAATATATATATATATATATATATATATATATATATATATATATATATATATTAATTATATAATTATATATATATATATATATATATATATATATATATATTATATATATATATATATATATATTATAATATATATATATAATATATATATATATATATATATATATATATATATATATATATATATATATATATATATATATATATATAATATATATATATATATATATATAATATATATATATATATATAATATATATATATATATATATAATGGCTTCAGTTTTTTAATGCAAAGTTTGATAACGTAAAAATTTATTTGATTTTTAATAGTTGTGTAGTCTTCCTCTGGATGGCTCAGTATTAGAGTAAATGTAGTGCACATTGTGGTCACCATCTCACTATATAATGTTGTGCTTGTGATGTATGCTGCTGCTGCACTAGTTGACCTCACCACTAATAGAATGAACATTATTGCATGTGACAGGCACAGTTGTGGGCAGTACCTTCGGCTGGCCAGGTAAAAGTCTTGCTGTTTTAGCTAACATTGAATGTTGGGCTACAGGTAATGGTGTAAGCTTTCTACTAACACAGTTATGACTTACGATGTCACATGTCATAACATGTGACTGCTGACAGTCGCGTGTTTTATCATGTTATGACTGCTGACAGTCATGGTCTGACATAACCTGCTAATAATGTAACTTTGTTTTATGATACAGATAATGATAAACTATATCAGATGTTTCATATTAACTAATGTTTTTTGAAAAGCTTATCAATAAAATGAGTTGCTTTTAACAGTCACTTGTTAATGCTAGTTATGAGCTATTGTATATTGTTGTTAGACAACAGGATGATTGATGTGGTGTGACAGCACATGGCTGCTCCACCATCTTATAAGGAGGCCTACTTAATCATTTTAACATTGTGTGCTTAACATGAAGTCATAAAATTCTTTACATAATGAGTTATGCACATTCTGTGGTATGATACAGTGGTGCTGGGTTACAGCCGGTCATTTCTGTGGTATGATACAGTGGTGCTGGGTTAAAGCCGGTCATTTCTGAGGAAAGTTCTGTATTGTGTGCACACTCATTTGTACATAGAACAGTAATATTTTTCAATTGGAAATCCACTGGTGTGCATTTATTAAATTTCTTAAGAAATATTAAATTAACTAAAATTAACAATATTGCTACTTTAGTTATAACTAAAAACCTTATTTATTAACACTAGATGGCATTAAATTAATTCCTTTGACTTTGAATCTGGACTAAAAAAGATGTTGGCAGAGGCATTTAAACTTGTATCAATAAGTTATCTTGGTAATGGGAAGCTTATCTATGCACCACTTGTAAACGTCTGCTATTTGATTCTGACACTTATAAATTCTGGAGAAGTGATTATTATAAAAATGTTCTACTGTAAGCAGATTGTTGTCCATGTGGATGTTCTCACTTCACTAGATGTTTTAGTACACAGTTTAATGGTGGAACTTGCACTAGTCTGGTTTTTGTAGAGTTTCTCACCAGACTTGTGATGCTGGATGCTAAGAGAATACCACAGTATTGCTGATCCTGCATATTAAATAATACATTACAAAATCAGGTTATGGACTTTAACTACAAACAGTAATCTAAAGTACAAATGCCGAGAGAAATTTGTCCCCCACATTGTTATGCAGACTATAATAGTGAAATAATAAATATGCTTGTTCTAGAGTTACACAGCAGCACTAATGTTTTTCAGTGTTACATCAGTTTTGTGACATAATTGATATAGTACTTTGAAGCATGAAATGCTGTATTTTGTAAATATGAAAATGTTGATGAAATTACTTTTATATTAGTTATTTCCTCCCAGTAAGCAATTGGCAGTAAGTAGTGATAAGCTTAGAATGTAAACAGAAGAAATTCATCAAAATCTTAATAATCAAGTTTCTTTTAGAGATTAAAATAAGGGGAGGTCTAACAAAAGGAAAAAGGCGAGTGGTGCATTGAGGCATCTGTGGGGGCAAAGAACTTTATTCATGGAAGCAAAAAGGAGAATGTACAAGAGTATAGTGGTACCTTCACACTTGTATGGGTGTGAAGCGTGGATTTTGAATGTTTCAGTAAGGAGAAGGCTGGAGGCAGAGTTGTCTTATTTGAAGGCAATGTGTGGAGTAAATATTATGCAGATAATTTAAAGTTTGGAGATTAGGAGGTTGTGTTGAGTTACTATAAATATTATTCAGAGGGCTGAGGAGGGGTTCTTGAAGTGGTTTGAACATAGAGAAGTTGAAGAAAAATAGGATGTATAAATCTGTAGTGGAGGGAAGAAGGGGTAGGGGTCATCCTTGGGAAGGTTGGAGGGAAGGGTTAGGGGAGGTTTTTAGGACCTGGGGCTTGGACATAAGAATCACCACTGCTGATGATGGTGGTGTCGTCATAGGCTTGTTTTAAGCACGCTAGATAGGAGTGAGTGGATGCAAGTGGTTTTTGTGATTTGAAGTGCTGTTGAAGGTAACATTTATGAAGGGATTCAGGGAAACCAGTTAGCCAGATTTAGGTTTTTGGATATGGGAAGTACAGTGCCATCACTCTGAAGGAAGGATGGGGAAGTTAAGGTTTGGTGGGGTCATCTGAAAAATGATTTTGGTGCCCTCCTGGCAAGACTGATGAAATGATTGACAGTGAAAGTTTTCTTCTTTGTTGGGTCGCCTTACCTTGGTGGGAGGTAGCGGAGTGTTAAAAAACAAGGAAAAATGACAGGATGGAGAATGAGATGATACAGAAATCTTTGACATTTTTCAAGTTGTGATTGCACATTTAGAATATTGATCTGTGTTCACATTATCTTTCAAGGCAGAAGAGTTATTAAAGCTGTGAATTGTGTACATATTGTTCAGTACCAGCATACTTGGTAAAACTACTAGGAACACCTCATATCATTTTAAACTTAATGATTCTGAGAAAACAGCAATGCCTGTAATGTATGCATGCATGTATATATAATGTTACATTAACAACATATTGGAGTGAGAGATATAAAGAGAAATTTTAGAATAAACCCAGTGAAAAGAGGGTGCCATAGGCACAATTACTAAACACACTGAACATCAGTGATTTGTGGCTCTTCAGCCTGTTATCAGCATATGTCAGATATTGCTACAGAAAAGACTGAAGCTTTTTTAAGGGAAACCTGAAACCAATACCAGTTCAGCCAAGTTGTGAAAACTGTGTTGGCCAGTGAATCACTGACATCAACATCCTGGTCGACCAGTTAGTCCCTGGTCAGTTTTGGCCTTGGACTGGGCTTTGAGATCAGAAGAATTCTTGAAACTGGTCACAAGTATGAGGAAGGGTAAGAAAGAGAAGAGTATTAGCAAGAAAGGAAGTTAGTATGATCAATTTGATCATATAACATTGATTCCATGAAACATTGAGGTATCCTTGCAATGTATACTGAAGAAAAACAATGGTAGACAATCCTGTAATTACAAGAGTGAATGAGTGAGTTGGGACATTAAGGCATGGACACTGATAAGTTAAGCTGGACTCCCTCTCACAGGTCACACTGAGTATGACCACAGCATCTTACACATCCAGAATGGCACTCATTTAAAATGCTCATAATTTTTTTTATGGGTTAACACATCCATTTTCTTCCCCAAGGTAAGGTGACTCAAAGGAAGACAGATTTTAGCAATATTTTCAGTAGTATAGTGTTGTGGAAGACAGGAACAGTGCTCCCAGGGACATATCATGTACTTCTTTACAGAGTACCCACTGATCAAGTTATCAGTATCCTACACCACAAGATAAGTGATGGCTTCAAAAACACACTCGCATGAATGGATTTCATTGCATTAGTGGAATTGTGTGTTCTAATTGCTTCACATACAGTGGCACTTGCTACAAACATTCTTCACTTTGGCCATGGGCTCACTCTTAAGTGCTGTATTTGTGAACATCTATATGGAGTCGCTGATTGACTTGCCAACTTAATTCCAAATGATGTATCTTGGATGAGGTATGTCAACAAGATGTTAGTTGCCACTACACAACTAAACCTTCACAAAATATGGGACATTCTCAACAATGAAACTATCAGTTCAGTTCACTTTAGAAACTGAAGTTTTATGACTCCATGATCGCGGGTTCTATCCCTGGCCATGGTATGGTTTGTTTCCTTTTTGACATCCTTATACCGTACATATTATATAATCAATAAAGTGCTAAACTGACAAAGGTCATGCAGTGGTGCAGGGCAGAAAATAGTGCCTGGGCTATAAACAACTAGGTGGAGAGGGGATCAGAGGTGAGGGGAGAAAAGGGCTGGTAGGGATGCTAGGGGCTGTCAAAGTTCATATAGTAAAACAGTTGCTGACAAAAAGTAAAAAAGTGATGGTAAGTCAAAGGCAGGGCTGTCTGCAAAAAGGGAAGATAAGGTAAAATCGACCGCGTCAGTGGAGGTAAATCCTGCGAGCTCGCTGGTAAACCGGACAATCCACAAGAAAGTGAAGACCCAAAATAGGGACCCGACAAACCTCACAGAGAGGAATAGGGTGTCATTCCATGACACCCATGGGTAAGGCGAGTATGGCCGATGCAGAGACTGGAGAGTGCAGTCTCCCGAGTATGGCAACGGTGTTAAGAAGATGGCTACAAACCTAAAAGCAGTTTAATAGAGTGCAATTTGTTATGGTGCATGTCCAGCCACCTTTGTTGCCAGTGGCAACAACAGTGGTTGGACATGCGAAGATGGGCAGAGATGACTGTAAAATAATCCCTGAACAGAATACCTCTATAGGAAACAAGTAGATCATGTACCACTGACCGTCCAGTAGCATCCATCTGTTCATTGCCCTGCACATTAGCATGTCCAGGGCCCAATAGAAAATGCTAGCCACATGACTCAACCAAAGTTGAATACGACGGACCAGTGGATGAGGGGAATCAAATTATTTAATGGCCTGTAAAACGCTGAGGGAATCTGAAATGATCACAAGCGCTGAAGGAGACATACATGTAATGCAGAGAAGTGCTGTGAGGATGGCATGGGCATGCAACTGGAAGTGATCAAGAAAGAGAGTGAGAAGCAGCCATAGGAAGGAGAGCTTTGGCGCATGGCAGTAGGAGAGAACAGACACACATTGTCAGAACCTCCCAAGGGGGAATGGAAAAGGCAGACACTAAATGAACATACAAGGGAGGCAACTGGAGAGAAGACCGGAGTGAAGATGAAGAGAAAATTGTCAGAGTAAGCAGGGGCACCAAACAAATAATGGGCTTCTACTAATGTCTGAGGCCAAACGATATGTAGAAGGCGAGGTTGTTGGGAATATGTAGTAGAAGTAAGAGTAATAGGAATGGGATCGCTGTTGTGCAAATCCAGGAGAACAGACCAGCGTAATCAAGGGCAATTGACAAGGAACAGATAGAAAGATCATTGCAAAAGAGAGACTGAGTGTGAGTCAAAATAGGTGGGAGCTCCTGTATTTAAAACATGAAGAGGATGAGAAGTAAAAAGTCT